AACGAAGGAGCAGGAGAAAGGTCGGGGGAAAGATTTTCAGCAGATGAATGCAGGGACAGGTCACGAGAACGTGCTGCTGTTTTGAGTTATTTCCATCTTAGGTGGATGATTCACTGTGGCACGTCATTAACCTGTTATACAGCCGTGGTGTGTGCAGCTTGAGAAACCAAGGCCTTTGGCCTCAGTGGGTTTTTCTGACTCACTGATATCACATTTCAGTACTTTATTTTAGTGCTTTTCCAAATTTAAAGTTCAGGAGAATGATTCAATGGCAAGATTCTTCTTACTCAAATTATGTTTGGTTCCTGTAAGTTTATTGTAATGCTGGTTGGCAGTTTTCAGGTCGGCAAATAAATCTATATTTATTCTTATGAAATGGATCCCTCTCATTTAAAAAATCTGAAGTGTGTTAACACCAATAATTACTGTTAACTTTTTGTGTTAGTAATAATTCATCTGAAGAATTCCTTTACTTTCTCACATTATTACACTCAAATAGAAAGAAATTCACATGAGCAATTCTGGAATTTTATTGTTTATTCTGCTAATTTCCCCTTATTAAAATAACTAAAAAACCCAGGAAGATTTTTAATACCATATTAGTTGTTTTGGGAGACAGTTTGTGAAACCATGGTGATAATGTCTACTTAAATACTTTCTGACATTTTGTAGGTTTTGTGTGTTTTTTTCTTTTGACAGAGTCTCAGTGTGTCACCCAGGCTGGACTTCGGTGACAACATCATAACTTACTGTAGCCTCAGCCTTTTGGGTTCAAACCATCATCCCGTCTCAGCCTCCCAAGTAGCTGGGACTATGGGCACATGTTCCCACTTGGCTGACTTTTTGTAGAGAAGTCTCGGCACGTTGCCCAGATGGTTTCAAACTCCTGGTCTCAAGCAATCCTCTCCCCTCGGCCTCCCAAAGTGCTAGGATCACAGGCGTGAGTCACCGTGCCCAGCCTTGTAGGAAATTTAAAGAAAGAAGAATATGATTCAGATACTTTGTAAGCAACTGTGTGGGGATAAAACCCCATGGGTATGATTCCTCATGCTGACTTCCCTCCTGAACCAGGGTGGGGCCCACCCGCAGGTGTCTTCCTTTCTTCTAGCTGCCATAAACACTTTACGCCCAACAATACACACGAAATAGGACAAGTATCTTCCATAATCCTTCACCGATGCTGTGTTTGATTCCTCTCTGACTTTCCCTGCACTCATAGACCTGGACCTTTGGTGTCTTTCTCACCTGCTGCTTCTATACCTGGGCACTCACCTGCCTGCTTTGTGTGGTCTGACCCTCAGCATTCACTGAGTGGCTTCCTTGGATTCAAACACACACCTCCCTGTCGCATGTGTATGTATACCTGATTCTTTGGGATGTGTCTGCTAATAAGAAATGCTCTTGTTCCATGGAGTCTAGACCTCTCTTAACTGAAAGCCCCTCCTTGTCCCCTCCTGTTGCTTCCTGGCCAACACAGTTTTACAACTTCCCGTGCTCCTGCAAGACACCTCCTCCACTGGACACCAGATAGAGCACTAAAGAAAATTAACACACCTCAGCCAGGTGCGGTGGCTCAGCCTGTAATCCCAGCACTTTGGGAGGTCAAGGTGGGTGGATCACAAGGTCAGGAGATCAAGATCATCCTGGCCAACATGGTGAAACCCCATCTCTACTGAAAATACAAAAATTAGCTGGGCTTGGTATCACATACCTATAATCCCAGCTACTCAGGAGTCTGAGGCAGCAGAATCCCTTGAGCCAGGGAGTCGGAGGTTGCAGTGAGCCAAGATCGGGCCACTGCACTCCAGCCTGGGGACAGAGTGAGACTCCATCTCAAAAAAAAAAAAAAAAATCTCATGGCAATTCAAGCATCTGTCCTCCAAAATAAAACATGTAAAACTTCAGTCTTGAAATGGCTGTAGAATATGCTCAGTGACCTGTAGCTCAGGGTAGCTTTTGTGTTTCCCAAGAGGGAGAGACAAGAAGGAGGGCAAAAGAAGAATCATTGCCGGGAGCAGAACATTCAGATGGAAAATGCCCTCTGGTCGGTGAGGGTGGTAAGGTTATGTAGGAGGGAAAAAATGACTTTTTCTTCTTAAAATAGGGAGAAGGGGAAATATATGATGGAAAATTAAGCAAGAAGATTTCGTTATGCCAGATTTCCTAAGTGATAAACCCGAGATAATTGTTGAGGATGATTTGGGAAGATCAAGTGCTAGCTTTGCAGGGTGCATATTTGGAGGATATCCATGATTCACCCAAAATGAATTTACAGCCTCATCTGTTCTGATTGCTCAGCGTCATATCCTGGGTGCTAAACGTTGCTAATATCAACACTGGCTTATGGAACGGCTCTTGCAACAGAGTTAGTGCCGGATAAGTATTACTGTTATCATTATCATTATTGACATCGCTTCACTTTTAAGAATTGTGATATTTTAAAATTCATTTGGCTGGGCACGGTGGCTCATGCCTGTAATCCCAGCACTCTGGGAGGCCCAGGCAAGTAGATCACTTGAGATCAGGAGTTCAAGACCAGCCTGGCCAATATCATGAAACGTCATGTCTACTAAAAATACAAAAATTAGCCAGGCGTGTTGGCGGGCGCCTGTAATCCCAGTTACTCAGGAGGCTGAGGCAGGAGAATTGCTGGACCCCGGGAAGATCATGCCATGGTACTCCAGCCTGGGTGATAGAGTGAGGCTCCGTCTCGAAAAAGAAAAAAAGAAGAAAAAGAAGAAAAGAAAATCATTTGAGTCATTTTTAAGAAGGCAAAGTTAGTATGACAGAGTTTGTTTCATGGACATATTTAATATGTCCAGACTAGCTAGAGCTATTAAAAATAAAAATGTGTGACTGCTAAAGTATGAAAGTCACTTGAAGGGTAAACTATAAGTTTTCAAGATAATTTTTTCAAGGAAAGATAGGTGTGCCTCGACTTGGCCTATTTCAGCCAAGTGCTTTATTTTAAATACACGCACATGAAGAGATAGTAGGATTATGGTTATGATTTAGAAAAGTATATCAGCCAGGTGCAGTGGCTCACGCCTGTAATCCCAGCACTTTGAGAGGCTGAGGCAGGCGGATCACCTGAGGTCAGGAGTTTCAGACCAACCTGGCCAACATGGCGAAACTCCGTCTCTACTAAAAATACAAAAATTAGCCAGGGGTGGTGGGGCATGCCTGTAATTCTAGCTACTCAGGAGGCTGAGGCACGAGAGTTGCTTGAACCCAGGTGGCGGAGGTCGCAGTGAGTCAAGATCGCAGCACTGCACTGCAGCCTGGCAACAAGAGCAAGACTCCATCTAAAAAAAACAAAAGAAGAAGAAGAAAGTATCTTTATCTTTTAGCAATTAATTCTGAAATATTTTTGGAAAAATAATATTTGCTTTAAATTATCTAGTGTAGGAAGATAGAAAAGGATCAGTCTAGTTGAAAATTATTAAAGCTGGACAGTGTATACAGGAAAATCATTATTCTCTCTGCTTTTGTGCATATTTTAAATTTCCATATAAAAAGGATAAGACACAAATACATGCTTGCACATATTCAAGTAAATGTTGTGATTTGGCTTGAATAATACATACTGATTCTCTACACCCACCAGGCTTCTTAGTTTGAGCTGTAATTGGCATTCATCTTACAGTGTTTTAGAGCATTTTGAAATGTTCTCAGAGGCGGGCGCGGTGGATCACGCCCATAATCCCAGCACTTTGGGAGCCCACGGTTGGGTGGGTCACCTGAGGTCAGAAGTTCATCACCAGCCTAGCCAACATGATGAAACCCTATCTGTACTAAAAATTAGCCAGGTGTGGTGGCAGGTGCCTATCATCCCAGCTCCTCAGGCGACTGAGGCAGGAGAATTGCTTTAACCTGGGAGGCGGAGGGTACGGTGAGCCGAGATCACACCACTGCACTCCAGCCTGGATGATGGAGCACGACTCCATCTCAAGGAAAAAAAAAAAAAAGAAATGCCCTTAGAAATGGTCTGCAGCAAATTTCTCAAGTTACAGGTGAGACAGTTGATTACCTTTGCCAGGTTACATACTGCCAGTTAGTGGCCAAAGGTCTAGTAATCTCTCCTAACTTCCCAGTTCAGCCTTGCCAAAGATGTCAGGAAACAGCAGCCAGTTGCGCCTCACTGTGTGTCCCACCCTATTTTGTCACAAACTTTTCCTCTTCTTTGGCAATTGCTTCATTTGGTTTAGGCAAAGAAAGGTTAAAAGGTGAAAGACGTTTTCTTTCTATTTCTTTTCACTTGATAGGGTGGCCATTTTAGCTGCAAGTGTTTGTCAACCAGTACTACTAAATAAATGTACTAAAATCTATTATTTCAGAGATATCTTTTGAAAGCAGGGAATTATTGGGTAAATACACTTAATCACTCCTGACATCGTTTTCGTGTAAGGTTGTTGTTGTGTTTTTGTTTTGTTTTGCTTTGTTTTTTTGAGACAGAGTCTCACTCTGTTGCCAGGCTGGAGTGCAGTGGTGCAGTCTTGGCTCAGTGCAACCTCCACTTCCCAGGTTCAAGCAATTCTCCTGCCTCAGCCTCCCAAGTAGCTGGGATTACAGGTGCATGCCACCACACCCAGCTAATTTTTGTATTTTGGTAGAGACGGGATTTCACCATATTGGCCAGGCTGTTCTCAAACTCTTGGCCTCAAGTGATCCGCCTTCACAGTCTCACAAAGTGCTGGAGTTACAGGCATGAGTGACCACACCCAGCCTGTTTCTTTGATTCCAAGAAGACTAATTTAGTCTGGAAAAATCAGATTGTGGCTCTGAGGCAATTCTCAAGGTTTGGCACAATCTTGGACCAAGCAGATTGGATAGAAGTCAGGCGTGGAATTTCAGGCTAAAATGAGCCGCCTTCTCAATATATTTCTCTCCCAACTTAGCTACCCATGGATGGGCTCTTGGGGGAAAGAGAGGGATGCAAAGAGTATCCCAGGATCAGGCTTTTATGAGACTGCTAATATCTTGGTTTCTTTCTTTTTCAGATGGGTGAGTCAAGTGAAGACATAGACCAAATGTTCAGCACTTTGCTGGGAGAGATGGATCTTCTGACCCAGGTAAACTTTCCTTTTTAACTGGCAAATTAGAAAAAAAAATAGAGTTGCAGAATTTGATGATAATATGACAAGGGAGCTGTCTCCTTTAAACCCTGAAGATTGGCAACATTATGTATTTCCGATGTAACAATGACGGGTTAAAAAATAAAGCTTGTTCCAGACAACACTTTTTTGAGTTCAGTTAATACATTGGTCAGACATACATCAAGCTCATGGTCTCCAAACGTACCAATAGAGAAATTTACCCCCAAGCTTACTCCCCTACAATCAGCCTAAGCCATTTCCCTGTGGTTACCTTTATGAAGACTCACAGGAAAATATTATCTTTGTTTGATTTTTTTTGAGACAGAGTCTCACTCTGTTGCTTAGGCTGAAATGCAGTGGCACAATCACAGTTCACTACAGCCTCAGCCTCTTGGGCTCAAGTGATCCTCTGGCCTCAGCCTCCGAAGTAGCAGGGACTACAGGTGCATGCCAGCACACCTGGCTAATTTTCTTTGCAGAGAAGAGATCTCGCTATGTTGCCCAGGCTGGATATTATCTTTAGTAAAGACTTTTACCAACTCTTGAGGAAATGCTACATTTTAAAGAACTAAGTGGGAGTTATGGCGGTCTCATGATTAGCCTGTAAGAACTTAGGACCCTCAAAGGAACGTGAAAGCCACTCAGCCATAGACTGAGAAAAAAGCTCCTAGCATCAAGATCAGATTGACTCAGAGGCTACCGAGCCCTACTGTCGGTACCACTACGGCCCGGCAGCTGCTAACCCAGGGGCCCCTCAGCCAGGTTACAGTCAGGTGAGCTTAGAGTGTCTTATAGTGTGCTCATAAAGGCATCTTTGATTGACAGGGTAATCAACTCATCACTTTTCTGAATGAAATATTGATATTTTATTCAGAAGAAGAAGAAGCCAATATTCCTAAATAAGATAGAGGTCTTCAAAAGCTTTCTAAAAAAATAAATGAATAGTCTGTGTTTTGGAAGACTATTTATTTTAGGAAAAATAAACCAATTCTAGGCTGGGTGCAGTGGCTCATGCCTGTAATCCCAACACTTTGGGAGGCCAAGGTGGGCAGATCACAAGGTCAGGAGTTCAAGACCAGCCTGGCCAACTGATGAAACCCCATCTCTACTAAAAATACAAAAATTAGCTGGGCATGGTGGCAGGCGCTTGTAATCCCAGCTACTCTGGAGGCTGAGGCAGGAGAATCACCTGAACCCAGGAGGCGGAGGTTGCAGTGAGCCGAGACTGTGCCTTTGCACTACAGTCTGGGTGACAGAGTGAGACTCCTTCTCAAAAAAATTAAAATTAAAATTAAAAATAAACCAGTTCTAGCTAGCATCTACTTTATATTCCCAGTAAGATTTAGAAAGGTTTATATTCTATGAAAGAAGGGATAAGACATAAGACAGTAGGCTTAGAGGAAAGGGTGTTGATTAAAAGATGTTAGGATGGCAACCACATTTCTCCTTCCCTCCCTCCCTCCCTCCCTCCCTCCCTCCCTCCCTCCCTTCCTTCCTTCCTTCCTTCCTTCCTTCCCTCCTTTCTTTTCTTTTTTTTTTCGAAAGACCAGCCTGGGTAACATAGTAAGACCCCTGCCCTTCTCATTTTTATTTAAAAAATAAAAATAATAGGAAAGAGGCGCCTTTGAGACTCTTGGACCTGCCTTCATGCAAAGCCCTTTTGGTTTTTGCTATTTCTTTGTTTTGCCCAAGTGGTTGTAGTCGGTCATAGGCTTGCTTGGCTAAATAGCCCTGCCAAACAGGTAGGTTCTCAAGATTTTAGGCTAAGGAAACATTTTGCTGGGACACACTGCATCGTCAAACAGCTTTTCTCCTCCGAGTAACTGGGTACTTCTTTGATGTCATTCCTTACATCCTTATAGAATTATATATATATGTGTGTGTGTGTTCACCATTACAAGAAATTATTTGTTCCTTATAAAAATTAACTCAACTACCTCATTCTCATTGCTCTCAATTGCCGTGTTCTGTTTCAAGATCATCCTTCTAGAATATTTTTTAAGCCGTAATTTTCTATAGGGGAAAAAACTACATAAAACATTTTCAAGAAACAATATGGTTTTCAGAGAACATACTGAAAGAGAAAATGTGTAAATAATAAATGGTTTTTGACTCGCTGATTAAAATGTGCTACAGAAATGTTTATATCGTGAATAACTTTGAGGGGGGATCTTTTTTCACAGAGTTTAGGAGTTGACACTCTCCCTCCTCCTGACCCTAAACCGCCCAGAGCTGAATTTAACTACAGTGTGGGGTTTAAAGATTTAAATGGTAAGCATAACAATTTCTTTTCTTAAGCAATTTGATATCGTAATGATGATTCAAATCAGTATGAAACTGTAATTTGAAAACTAAATTAAAGGAACCTAAACATCATGAAAAATACCATTGTTAAACTCATGGATTTCAGACTAGGTTTTACTGTGTCTGGATTGAATTGAGAGAGTCTAGAAGATATTTTTGCCTATAATGAAAGGGAACACCATTCTGCATTTGTGAAAAGGCTCAAAGTGATCTTGTTTTTTGAAGTAAAGGGAGTTTCTTCTTATTACTAAGCCCATAGAGTAACAAGGAGTAGTATATAAAAATATTAATAAGGAAATGTCCTTTCAGAGATAGAAATGAATTGTTTCATAATGATTAATAAATATGAATGGACACTTCAAACCATATTTTATTTAAAATATACTTTAATTTATATATAATATATCCTTACATTTAATTTAGCATACTTGACACTTTTTCACTTTTCCTGAACTTGTCACTTTATTTGATCTCCAAAATTCTCAGCCATGCATGGCGCCTCACGCTTGTGATCCCAGCACTTTGGGAGTCCAAGGTGGGAGGATTACCTTGTTGTAACCGAGCGAGTTGTAAGGAAAGCACCAGGCTCTGAGATTGAATCAGGAGTCTTTTATTGCCAGCGACCGAGAGATGGCTAATGTTCAAAATTCTCTTGGCCCCGAAGAAGGGGCTTGATTCCTTTTTATAACTTGCTTAGAGAAGGGGGGTGGCAAAGAGGAATTTTACAGAAGCAGAACAAGCAAGTTAGTAGGAGGTAGCTGGTAACCAGGAGGCAGAAGGTTCCCAGAATTGTTGGCTACCAAGGGGAGTAGCAGGGGGTGCTTTCCATGCTATCAATCACCAAGGGGGTAGGGTGTTCACAATAGCAGGTAGGCTCACCAAGCGGATGTAATTACAGTGGTTACAGGACTGAAAACAACAGCGTGACCCAAACCTTAGCGGTTCAGGGCTTTGAGTACAGCGTGACCCAGTAATGCACCTGAGGGGGCTGTGGCAGGGAGGGAGAAGCTAAGATGAGGCTTGTCAGGCTCACAGCTAAGATGGCATCAGTTAGGCTAACACAAGCTAGGCTAGCACAGCTTGAGCTCAGGAGCTTGAAAACCAGCCGGGATAACTTGGCAAGACCCCGTCTCTACAAAAAAAAAAAAAAAAAAAAAAAAAAATTAGCCAGGCATGGTGGCATGTGCCTGTGGTCCCAGCTACTTGGGAAGCTGAGGCAAGAAGATTGCTTGAGCCCAGGAGCTCAAGGCTGCAGTGAGCTGTGTTTGTGCCACCACACTCCATCCTGGCCAAAAAAGTGAGATTCTATCTCAAACAAAATAAAACAAAACAAAATAAAACAAAAACTCTGTGTTTATTTAGTGGAGACATCTTTAGGTCATATGCTATTCATACTATAATAAGAAGTAATCACTTTCAAATTGGTGAGAATTCCCTGCAACTCTTGAAAAAGATTTCCCAAAGACTTGCAATGCCTACCAAAAATGTGAAAAGCAAAACAGGAGAGAAGTTCAATTACAGAAATCCAGGATGCCCAGTTTTATTTCTGTCCTCCTCTGGATTTTTTTTTTTTTTTTTTTTTTTTAGAGTCTCTCTGTCACCCAGGCTGGAGTGCAGTGGTGTGATCTCAGCTCACTGCAACCCCTGCCTTCCAGGTTCAAGCTATTCTCCAGCCTCAGCCTCCCAAGTAGCTGGGATTACAGGCACATGCCACCACGCCCAACTAATATTTGTATTTTTAGCAGAGATGGGATTTTGCTGTGTTGGCTAGGCTGGTCTCGAGCTCCTGACCTCAGGTGATCCACCTGTTTTGTCCTCCCAAAGTGCTGGGATTACAGGTGTGAGCCACGGCGCCTGACCAGGATTTCTTTGTTTCTGTCATTTCCAGTAGTTTTAAAATAAACCATTAGGTGCCAGTGACTGTTTTTCAATAAATTATAATATACCTCTTTTGATTTTCTCTTTTTCCTACACTTTTTATTTATGACATGTTTAGTATTCCTGCCAGCCATTTTCATCAAGATGATAACATTTACAAAGTTTTTTTAAAAAGTAGGCCAAGCATGGTGGCTCATGCCCATAATCCCAGCACTTTGGGAGGCCAATGCTGGTGGATCACTTGAGGTCAGGAGTTCAAGACCAGCCTGGTCAGCATGATGAAACCCTATGTCTACTAAAAATACACAAAAAAATTAACCGGGTATGGTGGCTGGCACCTGCAATCCCAGGTACTGGGGAGGCTGAGGCATGAGAATAGCTAGAAGGTGGAGGTTGCAGTGAGCCAATATCTCACCACTGCACTTCAGCTTGGGCGGCAGAGGAAGACTCCATCTCAAAAAACAAACACAAAAAAAAGCAATACATTTTTGTAAAAGTAGGACAGCAATAGATAACATATAGTTGCACATATAAACAATGCAAATTTAGCCTCACTTCACCATAACAGCCTCATGCTTTAAAATCAGTTCAATTAAAATTAAAATTTAATCACTATTTCAATTTATTTGTAGTCATCTCAACTAACACTTTCTAAGCACCACTTCAGTGCCTGGTGTCAAAGTACTGACAATGATAGGAGCAAAGATACCCAGCAAGATACGAACACAGTGATGTCACACTACAGTAATAAGACACTCTTCTCATTAAGGAAACAATGGCCTAATTTGGATACAGGACAAGACAATTAAAAACTACTGCTATGTATGGAAAATTAAATTTGTATGGAATTAGATTAAGAATAGTTTTGTTTTGTCTTCACTTTAAAACACTGCCAAAATGAGTTCAAAATATTTTGCCCAGCCTGGGTACATGCCTGTAATCATGCCTGTAATTCCACCATTTTGGGAGGCCAAGGCAGGAGGATCACTTGATCTCAGGAGTTCAAGACAAGTCTGGGCAACATAGTGAGATCCCTGTCTCTACAAAAAAAATTTAAAAATTAGCCAGGCATGCTGGTATGTGCCTGTAGTCCTAGCTACTCGGGAGGCTGAGGTGGGAGGATTTATTGAGCCTATGAGGTCAAGGCTACAGTGAGCTATGACCCTACCACTGCACTCCAACCTGGGCAACAGAGCAAGAACCTGTCTCTAAAAAAGAAAAAAAATTGCCCAAAGTCATTCAGAGTCAGTGACAAATTTCAGAATAAAATCTATTTCTATCTCATTCCCCAATTTCATATTATTCATTTCTATATTAATAAATTTAACATCTATATTAAAACATTTAATCTATATTGATGAACTTAGAATTCTTTAATATATTAAAAATGTATTAATAACTAATATAATTTAATTTACTAAATTTGCTTTGGAAATGTAAAGGTTTATATGTAAACAGTCACAATGTGATTGATTATATTAGAAAATTATAAATATGATTCTTTAGTTCTATATATATTTTCTCTGAAAAATTTTAAATTAATTTAACTTAATTTTATAAAAAAGTTACATATAGGCTGGACATGGTAGCCCTTGCCTGTAATCCCAGCCCTTTGGGAGGCTGAGGTGAGAGGATCACTTCCTTCTTGCCCGTCGTTTGTTGAGGCCAGGAGTTCAAGACCAGCCCGGCCAACAAGACAAAACCCCTTTTCTACTAAAACTGCAAAAATTTTCAGGGTGTGGTGGTGCACACCTGTAATCCCAGCTACTCGGGAGGCTGAGGCAAGAGAATCACTTGAATCCGGGAGGCGGAGGTTGCAATGAGCCAGAATCTGTATGACTACACTCCAGCCTGGGTGACAGAGTGAGACTCTGTCTCAAAAAAAAAAGTTATATTTAAAAATGGCTTACAGTAAAATAAACTCTTTGTACACATTTAGGAAATCCAAATTTTAGTCCAAGTACTGTACACTCGCACTATTAGCATTAATGTTACATGCTGCGTGGCATTTATGATGACGTCTGACAATGTATCCTTTCATAAAGCTTATTTGTTACTGAGTGGGCTTCATTCCAGCTGCTCTCATTTCCTCAGTCTGGTTCATCATATCTATAGCAGCTAGAATTCTCCTCATGGATCACTTCCTTCCTGCCCATCCTTTGTTCATGACGTTCATCATATAATATATGCCTGATCATCAAAGTACTCCATTAAAACTACTCACCAGCACCATCCCCAGTACACCCCACGATCTAATCAATGTTCAAGATCACACATCTGCTCTACCATAGTAATCTCACACATGGAAGAAATCCTAAGGTGATCTCTCCTCCCTCCCTCTCACTCTGAAAATTTAAGTCTTTCCTTTCTTTTAAAAGTTAACTCATAGGCGGGTGTTGAACAATGAGAACACATGGACACAGGGAGGGGAGCACTACACACTGGGGTCAGTTGGGGGGAAATAGGGGAGGGACAGTGGGGGGTGGGGAGCTGGGGAGAGATAGCAAGGGGAGAAATGCCAGATGTAGGTGATGGGGAGGAAGGCAGCAAATCACACTGCCACGTGTGTTCCTATGCAACAATTTTGCATGTTCTTCACATGTACCCCAAAACCTAAAATGCAATAAAATAAATAAATGGGAAAAAAAAAAGTTAACTCCCAGCTTGCTGTCTTCATAAAGTTTCTACCATTCAATCTCATAATTTTTGTAATTCCTTGCCACCTATGGTGCTTTAACTTCTGCTATTTATTGTTAATTGCTCTTGGCTGGGCACGGTGGTTTATACCTGTAATCCCAGCACTTTGTGAGAGTGAGGTAGGTAGATCGCTTGAGCCCAGGAGTTTGAGACCAGTCTGGGCAACATGACAAAACCCTGTCTGTACACAAAATACAAAAATTAGCTGGACACCTGTAGTCCCAGCTACTTGGGAGGCTGAGCTGTGAAGGATCGCTTGAGCCTGGGAGACAGAGATTGCAGTGAGCCAAAATCACACCATGGCACAACCTGGGCAATAGAGTGAGACTCTGTCTCAAAAACAACAACAACAAAAATTGCGCTTTCTCTGAATACTAAGTGTACTATAGTTAGGTGGTGAGCCTATAGAAGATCCATCTTCACCCCAAAGTCACAAGCACATCAAACCCCAGTTGGTTGAAACTCAATTTCTTCTAAGTATCAGCAGTACTCTGCTTGCCCTCCAAGTGCTTAGGGAAAGCTCCCCTTACATCCATTGCCAGCGCTCCCCTGTCCCCTAATTTTCTAAAACTCTTAGATCTTACACTACAATATGCAAGAACTTCCTATTTAGGAATCTATTTGTGTGCTTGGATTTGACTTTATAGCTGGTGTGTCAAGTGCCCCAATGTAGAGAACACATTTCCTCCATTTTTTTCCCTTGGTGTTAGAAACTCACTCGCATTAAGCACTCGACAAAAGCAGCAGCAATCCTTTTAGGAGTTCCTATGCTCGTGCTATTGAATTAAAATATTCTCAATCTTCTCATTATATCATCACCAATCAAAATAATGATTCCTTTCTACTCAAATGTTATTCTTAAAAATTATCTTCTTTTAGTTTTTCCAGATGCAAATTGTCGTTTTTACCATTAATGTGATTTTCCCCACTAGAGTCCTTAAATGCACTGGAAGACCAAGATTTAGATGCTCTCATGGCAGATCTGGTAGCGGACATAAGTGAGGCTGAGCAGAGGACAATCCAGGCACAGAAAGAGTCCTCACAGAACCAACACCATTCAGCATCTCTACAGGCATCAAATTTCAGCGGTGCAGCCCCTCTTGATTATGGAACAAATGTTGCTGCCATTGGTATCAGCCAATATAAAGAAGACTTACCACCTCCACCAGCTGATCCTGTGTTAGATCTTCCATTGCCACCGCCACCTCCTGACCCTGTCTCTCAGGTAAGTGCGTTGGACCAGAGATGGCAGGGCCATCAATCTCTGCTACCTACCTTCTTTGCAGTGATCATTACATTCCTAAGTTTGCACATCCAAAGCTATAAGATACTAAAAATCGAGGATACAGAGCATACTCATTGCAAAGCTAGAACCCACCCTAAACAAGCCACATGGGTGTGTATCAAGAATGTATCAGGGCCATATTCAGGATTTACTATAGTTTGCTTAAAAACTATATTTATATGCAAACACTCTTCGATAAAACTCAATCTTTTGGGGAAATGTTTTATTAACATCATATTGAACTATGGAACTGATTATATATTTCCATGCCCCTGTTCCTAGCTCAGTACATAGAGAATAGAATGCATTCATTATACATTCTCTGAATAGAGCGAAATTGAATTTTGTTGAATTTGGCAGCCCTGTTTAGTAGGACAAGTACATCCGAGTATCACTTGTAATGTCATAGTCGGGGAGGGTGTTACAAGGCAGGCAGGTGATGAATTCTTGATATTGATAAATTTCTGAATATTGAAAAACAGACAACTGGAAAGCTTAAATTATCATTATTTGGCATATTAACCCATAGTATGCCTCTCATGAAAGTAAAAGGAGCACTTTTAAGGATTTTTGTTTGTTTGTTTAGAGTAAGCCAAATATTTTAGAGGAAAATCCTGCTCAGTTTCCTGTGGCTTCCACATCTGTGGCACTGTGTCACAATGATTGGTACTCACAAATAAGACCCTAGGGACCCTGAAAGGTCATACAATGCCTTTAGAATGAACAAATATTAAATATAAATCAAATATCATATTGTACTCTATCACACACAGTGCTCTATTGTGTATTTATTATAAAAAAAAAATTGGCTGGGCATAGTGGCTTATGCCTGTAATCCCAGCACTTTGGGAGGCCAAGGGGGGCAGATCACCTGCTCAAGACCAGCCTGGCCAACATGGTGAAACCTTGTCTCTACTAAAATATACAAAACTTAGCCAGGCATGATGGCGGGCGCCTGTAATTTCAGCTACTTGGGAGGCTGAGGCAGGGAAAATTGCTTGAACCCAGGAGGCAGAAGTTGCAGTGAGTCGAGATTGCACCACTGCAGTCCATCCTGGGCTACACAGCAAGATTCCATCTTGGGGGGAAAAAAAAAAAAAAAAAACTTACGTGAAAATGGAGATCAATATAGAACAGACTCTTAATGTGGGGTCCATGAAGATTTTGAGGGAGGCATGCCTCCCCTGAAAGCAAACAAACAACAAGTTGAATGCACTTGTGAAGCTTTATGGGCTTTCTTAATGGGGCTTGTGGCTCAAAAACAATTTGAGAGCCACTGCCATAAAAAGATACATGCCCATATTCAAGTAATCAGAATGTAGCCAGAACAGCTCATTTCCTCATCTTTATAAATAGAAGAGAGCCTTAACTTGCAAAAATCAGAGAGCTTGGGCTCATAAAATACTTCACTCACTTTTCTGCCTGTTCATATAAGTTTGTGAGTGTTTTGGGGAGGTGAATTTAAGTTTAAATTTCAGTCTTTTTTCACTTTGGGGGCATTAAGAAGCCCTTTAAGAATCTAATTAAAAATTAGAAATTCCAAAAAAGACATCCTGATCCAAAAGTAAGCATATAATTTCAGGGAGTGTTCAAATCCCTTGAGGTATGTCAATGTATAGATTCCTTAGGTTGGATTCCAGTTTGTAAGCCAAGCAGATTTTTGTGGTCTAAATATACGAAGTACAGTTAAAGTCATCATTTCATCTTTTAAGTTACCATTCCCAAGCTATAAAGGGTGACTGCCTCCTTCTATATCTTTGAGTTGAAGAATTTTGTTATAGTCATTTAAATTCTGAAAATGGAATCTTTCAGGTGATGGATACCCCATTTATCCAGATGTAATTATTACACATTGTATGGCTGTATCAAAATATCTCATGTACTCCATGAATACAGACACCTACTATGTACTCATAAATTTTAAAAATAAAAAAACGGAAAATATATATAACAATTTTTAAAAGTCATTAATAAATTTGAAAATCCAGCATGTGCAATTTGGTGCCTTTTGTTAACATAAAGTAACTAAGACACTAGTGACAGAAGTGATTACTCACTGGCATTACTTAATGAACTGTATTGAATATCTTGCCCTTTTCCAGGAAGAAAAGGAAGCCCAAGCTAAGGCTGATAAAATCAAGCTGGCGCTGGAAAAACTGAAGGAGGCCAAGGTTAAGAAGGTGAATCATTAATCCCTTTTGCATGGGGGCAGTTAAATTAAGGACATGTGGTTATGCTTAGTGATAAAAACCAAATGAAAATGTTGAGTGATACTTTCCAAATAGTTGTGATTTTAAAAAACCTTCAAGGACAAAGATAGAGTATACAGTTTTGTTTCTATAACATCAGTTAGTTCATTTGTGATGCACAAATAAGGAACTTGTGTTAGTATAAACATAGAAATTTCCTTGGCTTGTATACGATTTTTTTTTTTTTTGGCTGGTTTATACATGAATTTTCCTGGGAGCTGGAGTGGTGGGAGTAGGATTATACCTTCAACAAGAAAGGAAAGGGCCTTTGGCTTGGCTGCCGTAGAGGCAGGAGCCCTTTCAGCTCTGTTTTAAGAAATTTTAGAACAAGTTTGCACATCCAGGGCTCCCTTCTTTTGAGCTGCCCTCTCTGGGACTTTGCAAAGTTCTTGGTTGATAGCAGGTGGCGTCACCTTTGAGGACTGCCTTAACTGGGCCAGAGCTCAGCTTCTGTTGGCCTGGTCTCCGCTTTTCCACAGTTGCTCTTGTGCGCTTTTCCTGTGCCCTGGGGCAGCCTTCAGCCCTGCTGCTGCCCTGGATGTCCAAGTTATTTCCCAGGGTGCCAAATGCTGTTTTTGCTGATGCTCTGGTTTCAAAATTGCATAGTTTTGAGCAATATGCCCTTAACCCTACTTTCCTAATAAGCCTGTAACTTTATCATACATTTTTCCACAGATTACAGGTTTTTGAAGAACACATGTATTGTATTATAACAGATACAGCTGTATTTAACCTCACTAGTAGAATATACCTAATTATAATAAGGTATTAATAATAGTTAGGTTAGGGGCAGTGACTCAGGCCTGTAATCCCAACATTTTGGGAGGCTGAGATGGGAGGATCATCTGAGGTCAGGAATTCGAGACCAGCCTGGCCAACAGGGTGAAACCCCAACTCTACTAAAAATACAAAAATTATCTGGGCATAGTGGGACATGCCTGTAATCTCAGCTACTCAGGAGGCTAAGGCAGGAGAATCATTGGAACTCAGGAAGTAGAGGTTGCAGTGAGCCAAGATGGCACCACTGGATACCAGCCTGGGCAGCAGAGCAAGACTCCATCTCAAAAAACAATAAAGTTTTAAAAAAAAAAATAGTTAATTTGGTAATGTAAGGGAAAGATAAAATAGTCTTCATCGTGTTTTGTTTTGGTTTGGTTTAAGACAGGGTCTTGCTCTATCTCCCAGGGTGATCATGGCTCACTGCAGCCTTAAACTCCTGGGGTCAAGCAATCCTCCTCTCTTAGCCTCTTGAGTAGCTGAGACCACAGGTATGCACCACCATACCTGTGGCTAATTTATTTTTATTTTTTGTAGCTATGAGGCTTCCCTATGTTGCCTTGGCTGGTCTTGAACTCCTGGACTCAAGCAAGCCACCCACCTCAGCCTCCCAAAGTGCTAGGATTACAGGTGTGAGCCACTATGCCTGGCTCTTTGTCTGATTTCAACTCCTGAAGCAAATAACATCTCTGAGACTCATTCAGAACTTTTTTGCCAAGAGTTGGGCGAACTGTCGTTTTCACAGAGGGCTTTACACTTTCCCTTCCCATGGCACCTATCACAGTTCTCTGAATGAAGGCGTTCAATACCTGCCAATGGATGGATATTCAGTAAGTTGTCCTTGGCTATCCCTGGAGCCAGACTTTCAAGTTTCATCTAGGGGAGTCTTCCCAGATTAGTCTGGTTCCACTCATTCCAAACATGCCCAAATTTCCTTACCATTCTTTTCCCCTGTTTTCTGCAAGTGATTAATTTCACAGTCAGTTGTTGGAATTCCACATCCTCGGCTGCCTTGAGGTTTTCTCAAACCTTGGTTAAATCCAATGTTCCTCCTGCTCAGTCCTGGGCACTCAATGAGCTGATTCAATCACTCTCTCACCTACAAAACCATTTTTTAAAAGAAACGAGGGTCTCACTATGTGGCCCAGGTTGGTCTCAAACTCCTGGCATCAAGCGATCTTCCCACCAGGGCCTCCTAAAGTGCTGGGATTACAAGCATGTGCCACCACATCTGGCCTCAGCTAATGATTTTGCTGCTCATTTCCCAGGGAAGATAGACGCAGTCAAAATAAAGTGTGCAGACTCTCACCAAGACATCTACCAATCTTCCTGCGTGCATCTCTACCCATACATCCCATATCCTTTCTTTAACTGTGGATAAGTCATTATGTTTCTGCTGAAGTCCAGCCTCTTCTCTTGGGCTTCAGTCTCTCTTCTTGTCCTCCTCTGCTCAAAAGTCTCTGATATCTGCCCATCTCACACATGAAGCCAGAATGACTCCTCCCAGTGGCCTCCAGTCCCTGTGTGATGTGGCTATCAGTCACCTCTCTGGCCTCATCTCCCAGCGTTTGCTCCTTCATTCATCCCATTCTAGCTGCCTGGTCTCCTGGCTGCCCCTCAAGCACTCCAGGCCTGCCCTTGCCTTGGGACCTTGGCACTTTGTAGGTCCTCTGCCTCTTCCCTGGATTCTGAGTAGGTTCACTGTGTGCCTCCTTTGAGTCTTTTCCCACCTTCCCAGAGAGGCCTTTCCTATCTAACACCACGTGCACACATCCCCAATACTCCCAGTCCTTCCCCCACTTTAGTGTTCCCCTCAGTGCTTAACCCTATCCAAGGTGCTATTTACTTCACCTATTTGTGTGCGTGTATGACAGGGTCTTGCTCTGTCACCCAGGCTGCAGTGCAGTGGTGCAGTCATAGCTCACTGCTGCTTCAAATTCCTGAGCTCACTGATCCTCCCACGTAGCTGGCCTACAGGTGTGCACCACCATATCCCTCTATTTTTTAAAAATTATTAATAGAGAAAAGGTCTGGCCCTTTGCCCAGGCTGCTCTCAAACTCCTGGCCTCACTTCAGCCTACCTAAGTGCTGAGATTACAGGCAGGTAATCGTAGTTAAAATAGTTAGTTTGGTAAATTAAGGGGAAAATGAAACAGGCGTGTAATCCCAGCACTTTGGGAGGCTGAGGTGTGAGGATCGCTTGGCCCGGCCTACTTTACTTATTTGTCCTATGCATTGCCTGTATCCCCTCCCCACCCCCACAGGATCTCTCCAGCGACCTCTTTTCCCCACCAATGCATCCCCATTTCTTAGAAAAGTTGCCAGGATCACACAGAGGTGAACAAGTCAAGTGTGGTCCCTGCTTGTGGAGGGTTAGAGTCTAGTTAGATTCTAGCTCTGAAGAAAATAAACCATGAAGAAGTGATAGAGAGTACCCGGGCAACTCTTCCAGATGGATTTAGTGCTGAGGAGGCCTCTCTGAGCAGGCAACCATGGAGGGAAGGCTCTGGTCAGAAGTGGTTGGATGCACATGGGCATGGTGCCAGGGGGCATTCCAGGCAGAGGGAATGGGCAGTGAAAGATGTGCCAGCAAGAATGAACTTGGGGAGGTGGGGAAAAAGGGAAGGAAATGAGGATAGAGAGGCAGCCAGAAGCCACAGGATCTCACAGGCCCAAGGAGAAGTTTGGGTTGTATTATAAGTGCAATGGGAAGCCATTTGAGGGTTTTAAACAGGGGAGTTTGAGATGAATATATGGTTTTTAAAGGTCATAATGGGCCAGGCACACAGGCTCACACCTCTAATCTCAGCACTTTGGGAGGCCGAGGCAGGAGGATTGCTTGAGGCCAGGAGTTCAAAACCAGCCTGGGCAACATCGCAAGACCCTCTATCTTAAAAAAATATTGTATTTAATTAGCTGGGCATTGGTGGTGCATACATGTAGTCCCAGCTACAGGTGGCTGAGGTGGGAGAGTCCCTTGAGCCCAGGAGTTCAAGGTTGCAGTGAGCTATGATCACAGCACTGTATTCCAGCCTGAGTGGCAGAGCAAAATCCTGTCTCTGAAATAAATAAATATAGGTTATACTGGCTGCTTTGTAGAAAATGAATTGTAGGGACAAGGTGTGAGAGGAGGATTCTAGCACAAAATCTCACACACAGATAAGCATGTGTTGAAGTGATCACACACGGACGGCAGCTGACGATGAGCTGTGCTGAGTCCTTTATCCCTCAAGATAAAAAGGCAAAAGAAAATGGGAATAGTGAACTTCATAATTAGACTATTTCAAACCCCTGGATTATGTGTAAAATATATCATTTATATATTTTCAGAAGGGGAAATGAAAAGAGAAGTCAATTTTTTCTTAGGTTAAAAGATAGCGCAACCAGCAGATTCCATCCATTTGCTTCAGCTGGAGATTAAAAGAGCTGGAGAGGAGGGCAGATATTTCCTGCCATACATCAGAAAGTGAGAAAGGGTTGCCATGGTTTAGTTTAGATGAATTATGATGGTACACACAAAGCACAAGCTGCCTTGATTCAACAAAGAAGATGGAAAACAGAAGCCACTCTGATCAGTGAGGAAGAAAAGAAAATTATGAAGACAAGTTATATATTTGCTCTGATTTCAGACACTCTGAATATATTTGTTTTGTCATGCAGAACGTTAAGAAAATAACCGAGACACACTCATACATTGAGAATAACTTCAATGTACTCATGCGTAATCTACAACATGTTTTTAAAGGATGGAAATCAAATCTATCTGTCATGCTTTGCCCTCAAGTATTCTGTGGGCTGTTGACATCATTTTGAATTACAAATGATGTACACAGCTTGTGCTATAAAGATTTTGGAACTAGAAACAGAATCAGACTCATGCATTACTTTTATTGTTTGTTTTTTAAAGCCCTGTGACACCAGAGAACAATTCCGTTAGTAATTTTATCATAGACGCAAAAAACAAAACAGTAAATGATTTAAGGCTGAGATATTTTTGTATTTAGCAGCTTGCCAAAAAAAAGAAATTATAAAAAATGTAAAATCTTTAATGGATTATTTAAGTTTTTTCACTCTTGAATCACTTTGCCCCATACCATATAGTGTAAATATGGAAGTATTTAGCTTGCTAAATCACATAACTCTAATTTAGCTTACTAAATCATATAACTGTGATTTAATGTTACATGTTGGTATAGAGCTACTCTTTAGCTTGCAAATGTGAGGGAAGCTTTGAAGAATAGTAAATATAACTTCTTGTTAAACGTCACAAGCCTTCTCTTGTGTGTGTGTGTGTTTTCTAAATTCTATAATTGTGGACATTCATAAGTACATGTGGATTAACTCTAGTTTGCAATTTCTGCAAAAAAAAATACCTTTAATCATTGCCAAATTATGTGGTTTAGATTTTTTTCCATATATATATATATATATGATTTTATAGAACATAAAAAACCGCAACGTATGTTATATTTTCTCAAGAATTCCTAAGCAGGATTGAAATGTAGTCAAACATCATTAATCTTTCCATCAGGAACATTACATTTTCTAAGCCCTAACATTACTAGTGTTTCTTAGCACATGTAGCCACTTTACAGCAGTAATTCTCAGCAGAGAGCAGAAAGTACACCTTCCACAGAAAATAAACCCCAGTAAAGACTGCTGTTTAAAGAATTTCTCTTTTTCCATGCCACTCTCCGTGACTCATTTCTAAGGTCAGATGAGTGGATCTTTGACACTGTTAGTTGGACCTACCATTTTATCATCAAAAAACAAATATAAGGAAAAAGCAACTATCCAACTACAGATGTCGGGGCTAGAGATTTTCAAGGGAAAAAAAAAGGGTTCTTCAGGAAACCCTGGGATAAGGGTCTGATTTAAATGGTCCCTGGAGGAAGAAAGCATTATGACTTCACCATGTCTACATTTTGATCTTGGGGGTGTATGTGAATGTTGGAAATAGAAGGTGCTAGGTGAGTGCTTCAACTTGTGGTTGCTGCCTGGAACTCACCCGAATGGTTATCACCATGCACACCCTTCTGTTGCTATCAGTAACTCTGCAGAACCATCTACAGGAGCTACACTCTTCTATCTGTTAACTACAGAGTGTTAGGAAGGAATGAAGTTATACTCATATAACCCTGATCATGCCCAATCTCATCTGACCTCAGCAGCCTAAACAGGGTCAGGCCTGGTTAGTACTTGGATGGGAGGCGGGAATGGGACAGAGTCTGGCTGCTCAGAACCCAATCCAAAAATGTGGAGAGAAAGAAATGTCACCAAAATATATGGTTTTGGTTTTTAATATGTTACCAAATTTGTGGTTTCTCTCTCCTTTTTCAGTTGATCTAATCACTTTTTCAATAACAATGAATCTTATTGGTGAATAACCAGGACCAACCCTAGGCACATATGCTACAGATAAACAGAGATCAAAGAAAATCAAAGCCTAGCTGCATCACTTCGTGAATTAATTCTGTTAACATTACATGAAAATCGTGGTCTCTCTCATGAATCACATGTCTTAATAGCTTTGACAAGTTGCCTAGAAAAAGCCGAGGATATTCCGTGTTCTCATTGAAGATAAGTAAATGCAGCTTCCTCCAAACCTCCAGATTTGGAATGAGATAACTACCAATTTTATTGTGAATTTAATTCAATCGAACACGTATTTTGAAAATGGGATAAAAAGCAAATTAGGGGCTGGTTACGGTGGCTCATGCCTGTAATCCCAGCACTTTAGGAGGATGAGGCAAGAGGATTGCTTGAGGCCAGGAGTTTGAAACCAACATGGGCAACATAGTGAGACTTTGCCTCTACCAAAAAAATGAACAAAAATGAGCTGGGTGTGGTGGTGCACACCTTGATCCCAGCTACTTGGGAGGCTGAGGTGGGAAGATCAGTTGAACCCAGGAGGTCGAGGCTACAGTGAGCCAAGATCACACCACCACACTCCAGCCTAGGCAACAGAGCAAGACCCTATCACGCACATACATATAAAATGGAAATTAGATTGATCACGTGCCTGCATAACAGCTTATTTCTCAATCTACATTCATTTCACTTAATCCAACTCTGATCTGAAATGTACCCTCCTGTAACTGTCTGTCTCTTAGTGGGGCCCCCTCAGTGGCACCATGTTGAGATATGCTCTGTGGACCTTCAAAGAATTGTAGATTAACCAACGTGGTCTTATTTGGTGTCTTCAGACTCTTAGGTTGCATGAAATGGGGCTCAGCTCCAGCCAAGCAAAAGATAAGAGTTTATTATAAAGATACAGGTGGCCGGGCATGGTGGCTCACACCTGTAATCCCAACATTTTGGGAGGTTGAGGTGGGCGGATCACTTGAGGTCAGGAGTTTTAAGACCAGCCTGGCCAACATGGTGAAACCCCATCTCCACTACAAATTTTTTAAATTCGCCAGACGTGGTGGCAGGCACCTATAATCCCAGCTACTAAGGAGGCTGAGACACGAGAATCACTTGAACCCAGGAATTGCCACTGCACTCCTGCCTGGGTGACAAAGCAAGATTCCGTCTCAAAGTAATAATAATAAAGATAAAGGCATAGCTTTTAATCTAGAAAAGTTTCTGGGCTACAGGATGGAATGAGAACAAGGGAAAGATTACTGGGAAAGCAGGAACCCAGAACTTTTTTGGTTGTTTGTTTTCTGCCTCTCCCACCAGAATGCCCTGTCTCTGAAGGCTGGACAAGGACTTCATTATCTGTTTTCTCTTTTTGTGAATTGGTTTCTCCACCTTAATAATCTTAGCACCTAAAACAAGTGCCTGGCATGCAAGTGAGTTTAGATGGAACCAGTTCACTGAACACATTCTTACAAAAACTTTTCAGAAACAATAACAACTTTGAAAGTCTAATCTTAGTGGCCTCTGGTTGCTGAAACTTACTGGCTGCCCTGTGGCTCTATCCTCAGCTCGTTGTCAAGGTGCACATGAACGATAACAGCACGAAGTCACTGATGGTGGATGAGCGACAGCTGGCCCGAGATGTTCTGGACAACCTTTTCGAGAAAACTCACTGTGACTGCAATGTAAATTGGTGTCTTTATGAAATATACCCAGAACTACAAATTGGTAAGTCCCATCCCCAGCAATGGGCTGTACTACAAAAACCTTGTGGGTTTGCTGTATTACGGGTTTGGGTTTACTCTCTTTTTTTCTCTTTAATTTTATATAAAAAATGGACACAGTGTCTCACTATGCTGCCCAGGCTGATCTTAAACTCCTGTACTCAAGTGATCATCCCACCTGGGCCTCCCAAAGCGCTGGGATTACAGGCATGAGCCACTGCGACTGACCTCGTCCATCCTTGAGAAGGCTTTGGTTCAAGGTTTTCACTTCCCTTATATGAGATTTAGTGCTTGACTCTTCATTTATTTGTAGTGAATTTGCAGGTGGTGGCCAGACCTTGGGGGATATAAGCATTATTACTGCTGTTTCTCTAGTGATTCCATAAGGGAAAGAAAGTGTCTGGATAATACTTGCTAAGATACTGCATGCTCAATAAGCTGATACTCAGGAGAGGCTGGGTATCTGTCCGCTAATGCCTCCTTAGTGGTTGCTTCCTTAGCCAGCTATAACCCTGCCACAGCCTCCCATCAGTGCTCATTTCCCCTTCTTCCCTTCCCACTTGTGTAATCTCTGAAACTTTGTCTAGTGGAAGAGGCTCAGCCCCAGAGTGCAAAGAACATTTGGTAGAAATCGATGGAATTTTTCAAAAGCAGAAAAAAAAAATGGTAACTGAAGATATCATGTTACTTCTTATTCTTGGTGGTGGTGGTGATGGTGTTGAGGCAGGGTCTTGCTCCATCACCAGGGCTACAGTGCAATGGTGTGATCATGACTCACTGCAGCAGCCTCAAGATCCTGGCTCCAGCCATCCTCCTGCCTCCGCATCCTGAGTAGCTGGGACTACAGGCACACATCATCACATTTCTCATTTTTATTAACGGAACAGCTGTCCCTCAGGAGAGCTGGGTAGAACAGAGAATCGCCTGTACTAGAAGCTTTGGGAGCAATTTTTTTTTTTTCTTGATAAAATGGTGTACACGAAAACAGTCCCTTGAAGTTTTCTTCAATTCTATGAGTCAAGGGAAGAAAGGAAAGCCTTCATTTATGTTTTAATTCAGGCATTCACATGTTGCTTTTAGAGGGTTAAGGGGTGATGTTTTGGAGTAGACACTGTAACACTCACAATTTCATTCAAAGTGTTTCACCGGTCATTGGCTGATTGTCCACCTCCTGTAGAACTTGTTTGCCACCATCTGGGAATATTTAAAGTAAAAAATGTTGATATGAAAAAAGTATGTCTCCGGGTACACTGGTATATGTCTGTAGTCCAAGCTACTCAGGAGGGTGAGGCAGGAGGATTTCTTGAGCCTTGGAATTCAAGGCTCTAGTGCACTACGACGGCACTAATATAATAACAGCCACTGCACTCCAGCCTGGACAACATAGTGAGACCCCATCTCTTAAAAAAAGAATCAAGTGTGGCAGCTGACCGTTGTCACTGTGTAATGGGTTTTTTCATCTTTTTTCTTTAATGGAAGATAATTGGGAAGACAATGAAAAATAAACATGATAGGAATGTTACAATGTGACATCAGGTGAGAATTATCAGTGAGAATCCTAGACACCTGATGAAACTCATGAAGCATTGTGTTTAACTCAATAATAGCTTGTTTCTCACTTGGAAACCCTGATGTCTTGGGTCTGAAAGAATATCTTTTCTTATTTCATCAGAGAGGTTTTTTGAAGACCATGAAAATGTTGTTGAAGTCTTATCAGACTGGACAAGAGACACAGAAAATAAAGTACTATTTCTGGAGAAAGAAGAGAAATATGCTGTATTTAAAAACCCCCAGGTAAGACAACCTGCATATTGTTAAATCCTATAAAGTATGAAGGATTTTTTTTAATGTCACCTATATACTAACCACACCATTCATTGTCTCACAAAATCTCACAAATCTATTCTTTTCAAATAAGCACAAACTCAACTCTTAAGCTGTGTGTAAGCTAACAACCCTCTGAAAGATTCAGAAAGAAAAGAATCCATTTTGCTTTTTTAAATTCCAAATGCAAAACCTATCTATCTGTGGTTGTCTGATCCTCTTCTGGCCCTGTTTCTGTTTGGCTGCATTAATCCAATATATCTTGATGTACTCACTGTTGGTTCTTCCTGCTTTTTGCTTGAAAGATGCTCTTTTCTTTGTTGTTCGTATTTGGTGTTTATATGTGCCAGGAAAACTGAAAGGAGCACCTAGAAAATGTACAATTTATTGTCATTTTGTCACAAACAATTGTGCAACTAAAAAGCACAAATTCATATTTGTTCTTTTGTTCACATTTGTTCTTCATATTTGGGAATGCTTCCTTCAAGTTATATGTATGAGGATGTCCAGGCTTTTTCCCAGCTGTGGCCTCAAGCAACTGTGATTGAGTAAGGGTCGTTACTTTTTTTGAAAATCAAAGAATGTTAAAGGTGAAGAAGATCCTCCCCATTTTCCAGATATCTTTCCCTTTTACAGGTTAAAAAAAAAAAAAAAAGTCTTATATCACTAGAGGCAGAATTAGGGCAGCTTCCTTGTGGGAAAATGCTCTTTCTCCTGTAAATGCTATTTTCTGGCGTCTTCGCTAGGTTGTATGGTGGCCAGCGCTATTGTATAATTAAGATTAGCCTCATGGGAGAACCAGAGATCACCTCCATACCCCTTTACACTGGATCTAAAAACCAGATTGACACCAGGGAGATTAACAAGGGAAAATCACACAGTATTTAGCAGCTTTACATCTACATGGGAATCTTCATAAGAGTCAAATTTGAAGAAATGGCCGAGGGAAGATGCTTCTATACTTTTTAAACAAAGAACAATAAATTTGAGAAGAAATGATAGGACAAAGGGAATCTGGATAGGGGTGGTAAAATATCTAGGGGAGTGTAAACCAAAAAGTGTCTTAACAGGTCTCAATCAGTTTAGAAGTTTGTTTTGCCAAGTTTTAAAGACATGCCCAGAAGAAAAAAAAAAAAAAAAAGAATCACGGAAACAGTTTGTGGTCTGTGCCTTTCTCCAAAGCTGAATTTGAGGGCTTCAATAATTAAAGGGGATGCTGGACATGGTGGTTCCTACCTGTAATCCCAGCACTTTGGCAGGCTGAGGCAGGCATATCACTTGAGGTCAGGAGTTCGAGAACAGCCTGACCAACATAATGAAACCTTGTCTCTACTAAAAATACAAAAATTAGCTGGGCATGGTGGTGGGTGCCTGTAATCCCAGCTACTTGGGAGGCTGAGGCAGGGGGAATTGCTTGGACCTGGGAGGCAGATGTTGCAGTGAGCTGAGATCTCACCATTGCACT